CTTCTTGACCTCCTGCTGAACTTTTTCTTCCTCTAGTCCTTTTGGAAGGAGCAGAAGCAATAACGCTACCTTCAGCAGGAGAACTTTCCTCGCTAGCCTCTTGCGAGACTTCAGAAGCAGCTTCCTCTGCTCTCCTTAATCCTCCTCTTGGAGTAACAGCTATGGGCAGCCTGCTGACGGACAACGCTTGTCCATCAGAATGGCTGCTTTCTACTTTTTCTGAATTAGTCAGTTTAGGCTTCCTACCTCTCCTAGGAGGAACAGGCATCACAGGTATTTGCTCATCTCGAGTATTTCCTCCCGTTTCAAGTCTACAAGTCTCAGGTGCTCCTTTGTTCGCTTGGTACTTCTCCCAGGAGACATTCAAACAGAACCGGTCTGTCTGTCTGCAGCAGTTGATGAGTGCCTTCCGAGGGAATGCCTGGACTTCCACTCAGTTGTCCCCTTGTGTGTGTTCTAGCAGTGATGCCATACTCTACTTGATGCCTCCTGGTTTCATCTTCCACTCCCGTCACAGGTGATTAAGGGAGCCTTTGCCTTCTGGAATCTAGTGACCTTTGTCCTGGTTCGGGCTGGAATTGAGTTCATGTTCCTTTTCGGGAGCGAGAAGAATGCTGCCAGCACACTGAGCTTTCAAGGACTCTCCAAATCCCTATGTCCTGCCTTTGCGCAGGCACAAAAGAAGCAGGGATGGGACACGGCTGAAGCACCGGGCCCGGACTGGCCAACGGGCTATTCCACGTCATGTAACATCACGCTCGCTATGTAAAGGAGGGGTGGGCGGGAAGGGGCTCTCTCTCGCTTCCGGGATTGCAATCGCGGGGTCTTAGTATTTCGGGATCGCTAGCCGGGAACGGGCTGGGTGTCGGTCAGCGGGTGGTGAGCAACTGCACGGTGCATTGCCCGTTTCTAATTTCTATTACTGTCACCGTTTTATTTTATTACCATTAGTAAACTGTTTCTATCTCAACCTGCAAGTCTCCCTTTGCCCCTCCAATTCCCTCCCCCATTCCCAGGTGGGGGAGGGAGGCCGAGCGGCTGCGTGGTTGTTAACCGCTTCTTAAACCCTGAAAAGATGTATTTAGCACGTCAGTATGATATGAACATAGCTGCTCGTCTAGTGGAATGGAAGACAAGTTCAGCTTTACCGATTCGTTCCTATGTTACTGAAAAAAGAACATGTCCCAGCACTCACTGAGTCTCAAGGTTAACTTGTTCTAAGAGCCTTGAAGTGACAGGGCAAACTTTCGGGTTTGATTTCAGAAGTGATCAGTAAAACAGAAAAAGATACGTGAGGAGAAGGCTGTTAAGCAGTTTCACAAAACAGTTTCCCAGGTTTTTGAAGCTCTGAAAATGACTCTGAGATATAAAGAGCTCTCGGTGTCCCTCAGCTGCATCACATTCACCATCGTCACTAGCTGGCAATTCACGTTCAATCTGTTGCTCTGAAGCAGCACAGCTGTGTTGAAGATTGCCTGGTGGATGGAGCTCACTACACGGCGATGTTTCAGGAGCTGCTTCTGAGGTTTCTGCCGTACCCACACTATCTTCAATAACCTGAAGGTAAAAAATGTCTGTTAATGCATTCTTAATTACCAGACAGACTAACTTCAAGCTGAGCTTGGTGAAACTGAGGACAGTGAAATGCTGCTTTTCCTTTCAGACCACCACCACGTGTAAAGTGGGAAACATACAATCTACTCCCTGCCACAGATAACAGTTCATGCGTTTAAGGGACAGAGAACAGACTATTCCATTTATGCAATGACACGCTCCATTTCTGCTCTTTCTGTTCCTGGATAACGATTTGCCACCACCCGTGAACAACGTGAGCAGTTTTACAACACAAGCTGCACACACGACCGGCAGCAATCGTCACGCTGCAGAACTTTCTGGACTGACCACAAATCCACAGGTCGTACAGACAGAGAACGCTTCCCTCTGCTTCTTCCAAGCCAACCAGCAGCCCAGTTCTCTTCTGCCAGGAAAACTCCTTTACCACACGCACAGTGGGAGGCTGTTTATTTGCTCCCTGGAAACGGTACGCAGAGAGCCGCGCTCCTGTCACAGAGCTCACCGCCTGGAGTTGAGGACCACACGCCTGCCACGCCAGGCCATGGCTCCCTGGAAGAGAAACGCAAGAGGACTTAAGCAAAGGTCCAGCAGAAGACTGAAAACTGCCGAGAAGTCACAGTCACCGCCCTTTCCTTCAGTAAAAGTACCGAGCAGAGGAAGACCAACCCGCCCGATTCCGGTCAAGTAGTTAAAGCCACCCGTTGAAATCCTCAAGGAATGTATCTGAAAATTAACACCTTTGTTATTTTGCATTTGTACTTGTCAGTCCCTTCTCTCGGCCCTTCCTCACTTGGCAGGCTTCCCAGTCCTTTGATCATCTTTGTGGCCCTTTTCTGGACCCTCTCCAGCCTGCCCACATCTTTTTAGTACAGCGGGGACTAAACTGCTGGCAGACTCGAGGGTGGGCTAGCCAGTGAGCAGGAGGAAAACCCGTCTCTGGGAAGACCGGGTGTCTCAGCCAGCGGTGAGGGAGGGAGCCCAGGGTGGGGGCACAGAAGATAGCTGGGCTTGAGGCCATGCTGACCTCCTGGGGCTCTGTAAACGAAGGGCGTGCGTGGGAACCCCCGGAGTGACAGCACGCCCGCGGTGTCACTCGCGAGCTTGAATCGCAACAAGCCGGAGAGGAGGCCTCAATCTGCTGACTTCAAAACAAAATCTGGTCAGTCAGTAGCAGCAAGGCTATGGTTCAAAATCAAACGTAAAAATAAAGAGCCACGACATGCTTTTTTTCCTCTGTCCAAGAACTGTGCGTAATAGGAGTAACTCGACTGCCGGGCTGGGCGAGCCGAGGACTCAGGCCAAGGAGGAAGAACGTAGCCGACTCAGTATGAGTGATAAAGTGCTTCAGTTTATTGATTTTCATTACAGCCTTTTATAATCCTTCTACTAATTATGCCTACTAGTCACTAGCTGATTGGCTTAAGCTCTAAGGGTCGTATTCTCACGGTCCACCTACTTGCAGTAGCTTACAGCACAAGTTTCTCATAACACTAAGTTTCTCATGCTACTATTTCTGATTCCTGTTTACTTGTTTTCGATACACAACAGTACCGTAACACAATGTTTCTCAGACCACCGTTATCATAACACTAGGTTTCTTAGACCACTATTCCTAATTCCTCTCAACCTGTTTTCGACACACCACGGTACACAAGGCTGAAGTGTCCTTGACATTCCTCAGGTATCAGCAGCTGCGAGCAGCTGCAAGCAAACCCTAGTGAGGCCAGCATCAGCAGCTAGAGCAGGCTCTGATCATACAATTGCTCGGTGGGCTCAGGACCCTTGTCTCTGAGCCATTCTCCAACACTCGACTACAGATAGGGATTTCATTTCCACATTGGTACGGCAAGCGAGATGGGAAGGAATGAGTTTCCACAGAAACACGTTCACAAACGGCATCCCTGCGTCGTTCCTGCTGGCACACAGCGGGGGAGCTGGTTTGGGAGGACAAAGCACTTTCTGAAGGGGAAGGAACACAGGAGTAAATCGCAAGCAGCCCTCAGTAACCAGGGCAGTACTCTCACAGACAGACGGCCCTGCTGCACGGGCGTGAAGCTTTCTGCTTCCAGCAGTGCTCGAATCCGCTGGACAACCAGCGCAGGATGCTGATGGAGTGGGAGCATCCAGCAGCTACAAAAGCTGTACTGCATGGCTGAAAACTTGGCCTCTGCTGTAGCGGAGAGGCGCGCACTGTAAAGCTTCTGTACCCTATGAAGCTGTATAGAAGGCGGCATTAATTTTCCTTACCGAGGTGCTGGAAAGACTTTCTCATGCATACCATCTGTAAATCCAGCTGTACTACCTCAACTTTGTTTCCCACAGTATTTTAGAGGATCCACTCTGTCTTGTACCGGAAGCTGCTCCAGAGTCACGGTTCCCATTTTTCCGATTTGAGAGTAACCCAGCCTTTTAAAGTACCGCCTGAAAGGTCTTGGAAAGAAGTGACACTTTGCGCTAATCCCACCTGGCACTGCTTGTACTTTTCCCAATGCTGGGTGGCTTTGAAGAGCTCTTTGCACACAACGGGCACCGGGCCTCTGTTTGCAGCGCAGCCGATCGTCCAACAGCTCTTCCCGAGCCGGCCTGCCCGTACGCCAGCAGAGCAGCGTTATAACCTTGCCAGGCGTTCTCCAGCGCTCCTTGGGCCAGATCACACAACACCTCGCTCTAAACAACGATCGAGTGCATCCTCTTCACAGATGAGCAAGCAAACGCATACACAAGCACTGCTGCCCGGGACGCGTGCCCCCACTAACAGGTTGAATCAAGATTTGCAAACGTGCTTGAAAGTAATACCGAGTTCCGGGATGACGGGAGCGTAGGCAAAAGCTAGGTAAGGCTTCCAACCAGTAAACCGACCCGTGCCAGTCACCTGCAGTACGCTTACATGAACGTTAATAATGGGAGATAAACTAAATGAGCAGTCTACGACCGTGTATTAGCTACAACTGCTTGTAGTTGGTTCTTTGAGTAAAATCTTACCTGGCCTGCATAGCTGTTGGATCCGGCTGAGACGAGCATACCGTTCTCGCCCTTTCGGAAGCCACTACGAGACCACTAGGCTAGATGAAACGTAAAGGCCTTCCAGCGCCCTGGATTCTGAGGGCCACATATGCTTGTGCTGTTGGTGCTCACAGAAATCACACACTACTTCCCTGCACCCTTCTCTGTGTACTGAAAATACGGTTGTAGCACCAAAAGGCAAGCGATCGGTCACCCAGCGATAGCTCCTGCTTTTGTCTGCATTTAAGCCAAGTTGAACAGCAAGGCACACCACAGCAAGGACTGCTGTGGGATAAGCCTGCTCTTAAACTATGCCAGGGGATACACAGCCAAGGAGGAAGCGACCTGAACCAACGGACACGTCGGTAACTGTAACTTGCATTTTTCCCTCTCCCTCGCATACTGGTCATCCACACGGCAGAGGGCTTTGAAAAACACATTTTATTTTAGGAACGGCTTGAATTCAACAGGAACCACAGAACATTTATCTCCAAGCACATCCAAGAGACTCGTTACCTGGACTACTTTGCCGAGAAAAAAAAAAGCATTCCTGGATTGGAAACCTGCAAGTTTTGCACAGAAGACAAAAGTACCAACAAAATAAGAAAAAACTGCTACCTTCTTACTTGAGAGTCTACAATTTCATAGTATTTTCAGATTGGCCTAGACTAAGAGGTGAAAAGCACTGCCTATCAACTCATGAGAAAACACGGGCTGGCTGCTGCCTGTAGCTTGTTTTTTCGCCACCAGAAATCAACAGCTAAGCTATTTGCGATTCGGCACATGGGAACAGATGAAAAACCGCCAGGTGATTTTGCATCGTGATACTCCAAAGTAGTTTGGTCTGAACGGGCAGAGAAGTTGCTGTTTTCTTTGCTGACATCCATTTTCTCCAAACCATCTCCAGGTATGCTTTTTGAAAACGCTTCCACTTCAGCACGATCCTCCTCAGGATTGCTCAGAGTAAGCACAGTTGCCTTATCTCTAGTCTCAGACGATGCATCCTCCGCCATTCCATGATGATGCTCCCATGAATCCCCAGGCAGTGCTATATCATCGTTGGTTACCTTTATTAAAATACAAAAAAAAAACCAACAAAACCTCACAGTCAATAACATGCAGGTGGTTTTTGTAAAGGGAAGACAAAAAACCCCCCCAACATATACTGATATTTGTGTCCCTAGTGTCCCAAAAACCACACTGCAACTCTGCCTCAGGGAGAGGACGAGGTACGGCTGGTGGCTCTGCAACTCTAGCACTAGAACAAACAGGGAAAGGTAACTGACTTTCACTCCCCTGAAGTCCAAACATACCGGAATTCAGGTTTATTTGACCATCGCCCCTGAAGGAAAATCATCTGACAACCACCAGCCTCTTTTCCGCTCGTTACAATTCCGCCCGATGTTAAGAAGGAAAGGCAGAAACGAAGCAGACACTGGGAGGAAGCGGTCAAAGATCCCTGTTTGGCCACATAACCAAGTGTCTCAAAAGCAGTACACCGAGAGCTTGGTGGCAACCACAGTTCTAGTTTCAGCTGTCTTAAATTCTTGAAAACACATTTACCATCGTGTCAGTATAGGTCTTGGCCTAAATAAGATTATCATAGCCGAAAAACTCTCTCCAAATATTACTTTGGATGAACTGATTACAAAAAAGCCAATCAAAGTTTATTCAGGTACACCTTCCTTCCAGAATACTAACATAATCCAAATGGATTTTTCGCTATTCCTCTCCACACACGTAGCTCAAAACTGAACTTTGTGAAAAGGCTGCTTACCTATCATATCGTGAGGAAAAGGTTTTCTGCTCATTTCCTGCCCATGCTGCTCCAATTCTGGATAACACATTACTCATGAAAGTTGCTATGATATCCAGATATCCTGAATTGGCTGGTTTTCTTGCTCTTGATACTGGCTTTGGTCTCGCAACTGTAAAGCACAAGGGAAAACCTATCAGCCTTGTGTTATCAAAGTGAGCGTTTCTTGACCGCTGTATTCCCCGCGCTAAAAATTACCTCCTCTTAAGGCCGACGAAGGCAAATGGTAAGGCCTGGCTCTCTCTGCAGCCAGCTGCCTTTGAACTCTAGGAAGGATCTTCCGATATGGGTAATTCAGACTTTCTGGCACATGCCCCCTCTCTGAAGCGAGGATGGCGATCATTCTGATGAATAAAAAGCGTAAAGCAGTTAACTAATTACAGCGAGTGCACTGCACAGAACAGCAGCAAGTTCTACCCATCAGCACACGCCAACTTCACCCGGTAATTTTAGCAAAGTGGAAGGCAGACTAGATCAGTAACAGAACCGACAACTGTCAGTTAAAACAGTTCTGGCACTCAGCAGAACCTTATTCCGATACGCCTCTTGTTACCTTTGAGGAACCCCTTACAACAGGCAGTAAGAGGTGTAACAAAACCAGATCCTGACAACTTGTTTGTACCCTGCGGAGAGCTCCGACATGTAGACACGAGCACACGGCCCTGTTCTGCCCCTGGTCTTGGCACGGTCCTTCCGCAACTGCCTAACGAGCTGGGTCAGGGAATCCAACCGACGGGACCAAAGGCCGAGTAGAAGGGGGCAACTAGCAGGTGGACCAACTTCGTTTGACAGCAGTATGAATGCTACGCCCGGTGCGAGGCAAGAAGCAAACCCCAGAACTTTGGGGCTAGAGAACAGGCGACAGACCAGCTCTCTTCATCCCGAGTCTGTTTTTACCGTAAGTTAAGCAAACTCAGCCTCGCAGAAAGAGAGATCAAAAGTAAATGCAGCTCATGACTTCTGCTGCTTTCAGATGCACAAACCTTAACAAGCCCAAACAATGGCTCGAGCTGTATTCCTCACCTTCCTGCCATACCACCGCTTGAAAAGGCATCGCGGGAAGCTGAGCTAGCAATTTGGAACAACCACAGCTCCTAACAACGCTTGAGCGAAACCGCCAAGGACACCGACATGCATTTTGAATATCTGCCTGCCGACGGGTGATGTTACAGAAGGTCTAGCGGAACCTTTTTGGACCAAATTCAAGCCTGCCATTCTTGATCGCAGGTCCAGGTCTCAATATAAGGAGTTCTGGCAAACTGTCCAAAATTCTAAACCAAATAACAGACTAGAAAGCCTTTGACTGTAAAATCCACTAACTACAGCCCAGCTTACCCCAACAGTCCATTTCTCATCTGAGTTCCCTTCCTTGAAAGACACTCTGTGTTTGTTTGCTCTGGGAGGAGTAACTGATTCTCCTGGAAACGCAGAGGGAGTTGCCTGGGGTGTGCTGCGAACGCTGGATCTGAGAATAGACTGAGGAGTAAAGCCGGGAAAACCAGAAGCAGATGTGGCCAAAACTTCAGCTTTCTATGAAAAGAAAGAAAAATATTTAATTGAAAACCAATTCGTACCTTCAAAACGGAAGACTCCACTTCTCCAAAGCATTAGTTTCAATTACAGACTGAGGTTGCAGAGGCAGGGAGGACAAAGTTAACCTCTGCACTGCTCTTTCTCCAAAGGTATGAAAATCTTAACGATAAAACCCCCCAGGATCTTGTGGATTTTTGGTTTTCTTTTGGTATGTTGGTTGGTTGGTTGGTTGGTTGGTTGGTTTTTCCCACCAACACCAACTAAAATGTGATTTTTCAAATTAATTTCCTGAGGAAACAAGGATATGGCGTCTTGATTTCTGCATTGTTCTCTCCCTTCCCAGTAATTTTTGCAATTCCTACTCTGCTCTCTAAAAGGCGTACCACTTCAAATGTTACCCCAGCTACTGCCACTGAACACACTGCCATGCAAAATGGCAATCAGCAAAGCAACAGCGAGAGCTTATTGCTTCACTGATGAATCCATCCGCGCGCTACACCAAATTAAGGGGCTGCTGTACAAATACCTACACATCTTCACCTAGAAGCATCCAGGTCTTCTTACCTCGGCTCGGAAGAAGAATTTACAGTATGGAAAGGGTTTGAAAGGGGGAGAAGGAAACTAGCTCAATGAGAGGGACGATATTCAATGAGAAGAAAAAGGCTGTCATTCAGAGAGATCACAACTACTTTGTTCAGGCAGGCAAAGGCAAAGAGACCCGCACCAAGAAGACAGGTCAAATGTTGTTACTTCCTTACAGGAGAAGAGTTTGAAGGCACTGAATGGACACACAGTTTACGCAAACAATTAACCAGTACAATTGCTGCCAAAAGCCATCACTGAGTTGGACAGAGACTGACATCCCTTAACGGACATCACTTAGCTGTCACTCACTTCACCGGATTAAGAAACTGAAGCATGCACGTTCTTGCTGGTGGCTATGCAAGTCAAACTGTGCAGAGCTGCTGAGCGCTTGCATAACGAGATGGTTAAGCCACAAACTGCATCTTTAAGGGTCTAAGCATATTGAAAAGCCCAATTTTAACTTCCTTTGTTCTGCACAGTTCATGAAGTTATGGGACAACGTGCCTACTGCAATTAGCTTAGAACTAAACTTGCCCTCTTCAAGGCTTTTCCCAACTTCCTGCTTCCAAAAGGACTGTATGTACAACCACCCCACATGCTCTGAAAATTTGACACAGTTTGAATCCAGCAGTGTTTGTGTCAAACATTTTGGTGGTTTCATTTTAAACAAAGTTTACAGGCCATTTGTTTGGTCGGTTCTTACTGTTTTTCCAAATACAAACCTTAACCACAAGAGGAGTCTGTAGCAAATTGAACTCTGGTGTTCTTGAAGAATTCTTTTGTAACAATGGTGACTGCCAGCTACCACCCTGTGCTGCAGAACATGAAGGGACAGGACGATCCACCAAACCCAGCAACCTGTTAAGATACCCAATTTAAAATATGAACATAAATAAACTAAGGAAGAAAATCACGCGGCGTTCAAGAAATCTTGAGATGAGATGTAAGAAAGACATTCAAGGAACGAGAAATAGAGGTGAGCCCTCACTGTTGGGGGGTGTATCAGGTCCACGCACAAGTTACCGCCTTTTCCTTTTTTCTTAGTTACTTCTGTACATTTCAAGCTTGATTTCCTAAATCACTGCCTCTTAGGGAAGAGAAATCCCATTTTAAGTTGACCAAGGGATGTAATTCTCACGTCAAAGAGAAATTCACCTGCATTTCAATGCTGGGACCACTTCAAATTCTCCACCGAGTTGTGTCCTTAAATTGCCCTTTTCTTTACCAGATACAAAACTAAATGCAAACAGAGCACTTTGCAAACACAGAAAGTATACACACACGCACACACACACATACATATACACAGACATAAGAAAAGCAACACCATTTTGAAATATTCACTCTCTAGATCTACTATACTGGAAGATTTTTGTGAAAATCTTGTGACCAGTGTCCCAACAACCGCACTGCGCAACTCTGCCTCAGGGAGAGGACGAGGTACGGCTGGTGGCTCTGCAACTCTAGCACTAGAACAAACAGGGAAAGGTAACTGACTTTCACTCCCCTGAAGTCCAAACATACCGGAATTCAGGTTTATTTGACCATCGCCCCTGAAGGAAAATCATCTGACAACCACCAGCCTCTTTTCCGCTCGTTACAATTCCGCCCGATGTTAAGAAGGAAAGGCAGAAACGAAGCAGACACTGGGCAGGAAGCGGTCAAAGATCCCTGTTTGGCCACATAACCAAGTGTCTCAAAAGCAGTACACCGAGAGCTTGGTGGCAACCACAGTTCTAGTTTCAGCTGTCTTAAATTCTTGAAAACACATTTACCATCGTGTCAGTATAGGTCTTGGCCTAAATAAGATTATCATAGCCGAAAAACTCTCTCTCCAAATATTACTTTGGATGAACTGATTACAAAAAAGCCAATCAAAGTTTATTCAGGTACACCTTCCTTCCAGAATACTAACATAATCCAAATGGATTTTTCGCTATTCCTCTCCACACACGTAGCTCAAAACTGAACTTTGTGAAAAGGCTGCTTACCTATCATATCGTGAGGAAAAGGTTTTCTGCTCATTTCCTGCCCATGCTGCTCCAATTCTGGATAACACATTACTCATGAAAGTTGCTATGATATCCAGATATCCTGAATTGGCTGGTTTTCTTGCTCTTGATACTGGCTTTGGTCTCGCAACTGTAAAGCACAAGGGAAAACCTATCAGCCTTGTGTTATCAAAGTGAGCGTTTCTTGACCGCTGTATTCCCCGCGCTAAAAATTACCTCCTCTTAAGGCCGACGAAGGCAAATGGTAAGGCCTGGCTCTCTCTGCAGCCAGCTGCCTTTGAACTCTAGGAAGGATCTTCCGATATGGGCGTAATTCAGACTTTCTGGCACATGCCCCCTCTCTGAAGCGAGGATGGCGATCATTCTGATGAATAAAAAGCGTAAAGCAGTTAACTAATTACAGCGAGTGCACTGCACAGAACAGCAGCAAGTCATTCATGAAGTTACGGGACGACGTGCCGGCTGTACTGGAGCTGGCAGCAGTAATTGTTTACCACAGCCCACTTCCTTGGGAGCAGGTGATCATGTCTGGTGCAGCCAGCTGATGTTTGCAACAGCTCGCATCCCAGTGAGACCCCCCCGTCGTCAGCTGCTGCACTGAGCCCAACGCTCGGAGACACCGACGGGGGCCACGGGGGGTCTGAGGCAAAGATGCTTTGTGTTGCGCATGACCAGCACGGCCTGCACGCTTCCTTGCGCGTATCTGTGGCACAGAATTTATAGACGGGTCTCTAGAGACAGGCCTATCAGGGCTGTTCCCCGTCAAACTCCCTAGTTTGGATCTAAGAGTACTATCACTTCTGCTGACTAAAGCCAACACCTGCAGCTCAGTGCAACTCGCAAATAATGGGAACATCAGGTTACCACGTCTTGTAGCCTCTACAGCCCTGTCAGGCAAGATGGATGTATTTCCCCCTTGATTCCCTCATAGGCAGACACCTGACCCAAACTGGGTGGCTGGACATCAGCTGGCCTGGGAGACAGACAGCCAGCTGCAAGACACCTCTTGCAGCTATCATGAATGGCTTCACGTATTAAAGGACCAGATTTCTTCAAAAAATTCAAGGTCTGAAACGTCAATCAAAAACTACAGATTAAGACAGCAGTATTATTCAGTCACTAAGGGTCTGGCTAACCACTAAGAGAAATAGGATAATTGTTCACTTAGACTCTCGGGAAGCTCACATCAGCAATATGCTTTGCGTTAGCAATCCGAGTAAGCATTACTACGTAGAGTCGTAAGGACGGCAGCCAAACTAGCAGTTACAGTTTCTAAAAAAAATCCTGTAAAACAAAATATTGGCCCTTGCAATGCTTAAGTATTTTCTCCCTTCTCTGTCAAAACACGGGCCTTTCTTTTTCCCTGAACACTGACACAAATTACTTTCTGTACAAGCTAAAACTAACACACAACTTCAAATCACGCTTTGCATGAGCCTTTATAAGCCTCTCTGTGCAGAGGCTGATTTATGTTGGCAATACGTAGTGAGCTGAAACTTAATTCAAAATTATTTGCCACAAGCTGTGCCCTGGCTTGGAAGTTAGAATTTGGCCAGGGTCGGGAAAAAAAAAAAAAAAATTTCTTCTCAAATACTTCTCAAACACAGTTTTTCACTTTCTCCATTCTGTCCTCCTTTTCAAGCAGACCAGGGATCAAAACCCTAACTCAAGACTACACAGGCAGTGCGACTGAAGGGTAATAGAGAAGAAACAGCTTTCTTCTTAGGAACGCTTTTGTTCTTGCTCCTAGAGCAACGTTGTATTCCCTTCTAGACGTTCAGTCTCGGATCGCGCTTCATCAGGAGGCAGTGCTCACTTTACAGTTCCAAGAGCAGACTGAAAACATTCTCATTTGCATAAAACTGGCAGGGTACAACTGCAATTATGCGTGTGGATGGGCAGGACGAGCATAAACCCATCTCTGACAGTGAAAGCAGTGCAGGAGAAAACTTGGAAAAGGTCCATCTCTTCACATTCTCAATAAAGATTCGGTAAATGATCACCTCCTTCTGGAAGCTGGTGCAAGTCATATGGACAACTCCGGAGTTCAGCAAGCACGTACCATCTGCAGAAACAACCAACATTTGACAAGCTTCCATACGCTCACAGTTACGTTATGACCAGTTTACAGTTTTTAAACAGCAGTATCTGGAAAGACAGATCTCAGTGCCCATCTTCCTCACCAGATCACTTACAGACTTTTTAAAAAAATAATTACTGCGTCTAGAACTTTCATCTCTAGCGCAATCGAGGTGCTGTGCTTTGAGCTTCAGTTCAAAGTCATTTCATTTTATAACCATCACCTCTTCGCAGGCTCTATCATAAAAGCACCAAACCCCAAAACTCAGCACACTCTCGGATGTGTTTCACAATTTTAAATCCCACCTTAGTGCAACGTAATTTGAGTTGGGTTTGTGGGAGCTGGGGGTTTGGGGGTTTGGGTTTGGTTTTCGAGTGACAGAGAACAAGAGAACTATTTCATGTCATCTGACCTCAGTTTGAGCTTATCACTATAAAAAGCAGTGAAATACCTACCAAAATTATAGGAGCTTGGATTAAAAAACTGATCAGGTGGTGGATAGGAAGGAGGCACTCCGCGACAGAGACTCTGCTCACGTACTCGAATATCCAAAACGAGGCTTGGAGAAGTCATACTTAGTCCAGTATCCAGTGACCACAGCGCAAAATAGGGGCAGTCGTGAAGGAGTTCTTCCGGCCTTAAAGAAAACAAGTGCATAAGCTAAATGCCAACTTTCAGATGAATTATCTGGGGGGACACTGAAAAGAAGCTAAGAAAAATCTACCTCAGTGAATCTGGCATTTGAGCGTGATACCAGCGGTTAATGTCAAATACACCCAAGTAAGTAGATGGCTTTCCCTCACCATACGTATTCACTTGCCAGCTGAAGACTGATACACTGGTCTCAGGAGATATTACTGTAAAAGACAAGACGTTGTTTCTTATTTGTAGAAAACATGCCGTATCCGATATTTTTAAAGCACCGCTTCCTAGTTTGGTTTAATTCTGTTCTACCACTCATGCAAAAACAACACTGACTAAGAATAAGAAAAACAATTCACGGAGTAGCAAACACCTCTGTGACAGGTTCCAGGCATCCTGCCCCTTTTTCTTGTTCGGATTGTATCCGTTCCAAGCCAAATCAGATACATAATTAGTAGCTTATTAAGTTTGCCACGCATTAAGAGTTGAACAAGACATTTAGCTAGATGAACAGCTGAGCAAAAAAAAAATATGCTAGGAACACAGACACTGCTTCTTTTAGAAAGCACACAAATAGTCATCGTATACACTTGTATCACTTAGCCAGCATTACTAATTTCCAGCTTTGTCTCAACCACACATTTTCAGAACAGCTCCTCTCCTGCATGTCCGCACCGAAAGAACACAATTATCACACAAAACAAATACAGAAACAAAAGTTACAGGTATTTTTTCCATGCCTCATACTTCAGAAAAAGGAGGCAGAAAGGGGTTTTTTTGTTGCCGTTTGGGTTTTTTTTGGTTTTCTTGGGGGTGTTGGGGGAGTGGTGTTCTTTTTTGTTTCCAACAGGTTTTTAGAAGGCACTCCTCTCAGAAACATGGCACAAGTGGAGAAAATCCAAAGGTGCTTTGATTAGATTTTGACACACCGTTGCTCGAGGATGGCATCACAAAAGACACGGAAGTTGCCGCTTCAGGACTAAGTCAAAGACAATCAGCAGAAATAGCCTAGAAAGGTCATGCAAGTGTCTTTGTGACACCAGACAGAAGTCAAGGCCCGTAAGAAGCGGGGGAAGGTGACTAACGCAGTCAAAACAAACGGCTATGCAAGTTATCACTGCAGCAGGCTCGAAGATATGGTCAGAGCGTAACTGGATTTGTAAACCCAGAGAGGTATATTTAATTACTGCAAGATAATGAAAGACACCATAAGAGTTTTAACTGTGTACATGGTCAAGGAAAGCTACCGCTGCATCCTGGATCCTGCTCTCCCTATCACCTGGGAGCAGGAGTAACAGTCCATCACCTCCTGACAGACTAGTACCTCTGTACCTGGCAAGTGGCCGAGGGAGGGCAATAACAGCACTGCGCATCCAGCAAGTTCTGGGCCTGCGCAACTGGTGGAAAACACCCAAATAGCTCATCAGGAGCTGGGCCAGAGTGGAAAAGTCCCTAACGAAAGTCAGTTATCCTGGAGCCCATAAACAGTGACCCCAGGTGAGACCCTCTGAGCTCTTCTCCTGGATCGCAGTGGGCCTGTGACCAGCATCTCCCCTGAGTTGGGACGCCTCTCAGCTATCAACTCCTCGAGGCACCGTCTGCTGTCGAAGCCAATGATGGGCTGGGCAAAGTCGCCCCCCTCGGGTCTCAGTTATTGGCTGTTGAGGAATGATGATGCTTTGCAAGTATTTGCTCTAAGCTTGAGAAGAGGGAAATTTTAACCGTAGGCTAGCTTTTCTTCACCCGCCTCTCTACTTATCTATGTGTTTGGGTATACACAGCTGTTTTTACGAGTGTGGGTACATACATATTTCACTGGATCCAAATATTTTTGTCTGTCTGTGTTTGTACATCTTGTGTTTATGAATAAACATATGTACTTAGATAGATAGATACGTAGATAGATCGATAGACAGACAGACAGATAGACAGACAGATAGATAGACAGATAGAGAGAGAGAGATAGAGAGAGAGAGATAGAGAGATGGAGAGATAGATTTAGGATACCACACAGTAAGTCATTGCGATTCTTGTCATTTTTGAATCTGTACAGTTAAGTCACTATTTTAATCATAACGTATTTTACTGAATTATTTTGTAAATCATTCAAGTGGTTAATGATTAAGTGCTGCTACTCATTAATAAATCTCAATTTGCTGCCAAACTATTACCGTGTTAGTATACCCATCCATGACACCTGGGAGAAGAGACCAACCCCGACCCTGCTCCCACCTCCTTTCAAGTAGCTGTAGAGAGCGACAAGCTCTCCCCTCAGCCTCCTTTTCTCCTGGCTAAACAACCCCTGCTCCCTCAGTCGCTCCTCCTAAGACTTGTTCTCCAGAACCTTCAACTTCAAGGTGCGGCCTCACCGGGGCTGCGTACCGGGGGACGGTCACTGCCCCAGTCCTGCTGGCCACACTATTGCTGATACAAGCCAGGATGCTCTTGGCCGCCTTGGCCACCTGGGCACACCTCTGGCTCACATTCAGCCGGCTGCCGACCGACACCCCCAGGTCCTTTCCCGCTGGGCAGCTCTCCAGCCACTCTGCCCCAAGCCTGTAGCGTTGCGTGGGGTTGTTGTGACCCAAGTGCACTCGATCCCCTCATCCAGATCGCTGATACAGATCTTAAACAGAACTGGCCCCAATGCTGAGGCCTGGGGAACACCACTTGTGAGTGGCCGCCAGCTGGGTGCAGATACAGACATAGGTGTGAACAGGGAAAAAAAAAAATATTCAGATCACATTCCTAAGCAACGCAGAGAATGATCTTTTTTTCCAAGAAGACAGCTGGAGGAATAAAATGACTGACAAACGTTGCAGAGATGGCCCTACTATACAGTGCTATAGCATGTCAGCAAGCACAAAATAAACCCCAATTTCCCCCTTAAGGAAGTCCCACAAAACTCAAGCAACCCTTTTGTCTATTTAAATAAGCCCAACAAGCTCGTCTCTACAGATACTCAAGACTTTCTGACTTTCTGTGGGTACAGAACAACATTCACTGCTTAGATTCCCAAACTACTTTTTTAGAATAACCAAGCACGGACATCAGAACAAACCTTCATTAACGCTATCCTCTCCGTCAACCGGCTTGGGAAATTTTTCTACAGTCTGGCAGCTCAGAAATTTGGTATTGCCGGTCGGCCCTCTCCAGGGAAAGACTCCACACGTGAGATCTAAACTGAACCTTTCGTCACAGTATTCCAAACCCTGGGGAAAAAAGGAGAGACAAAAGGTCACTTTGGCGTAAAAACATGCCTTATTCCTAAATATGAAAGAATCTATGTACCAGAATGTAACATAATATGCACCTTATACTGTGTATTTCCCATGAGCTTCTTTCTGATGGCAAACAGAAACAACATCTGGCACGCAAGAGAATCAAGCGTCAAATCCTAAGGGGTATCTTTGGCTGTAAAGGCTTTGCACGTTTTCAAAATTTAGCATTCCCCTATCATTATTCGGTTCTAATCATGTTTTGCAGAAATCCTTGCAACACCAGGGTTTCTTTACAAACCGGAGGACAGATCTACAAAGAGGTATCTGAAATCAGGCGATACATACGCATGCAAAGCTCTTTGCTCTTGATTACAGGACTGAGGATGTTAGAGAAGTCTTGGCACTACAGCAGCTGAAGCTCTGTCAAGAGGTGTTATCTACTGGCACACCACCAGAGCGAAAACACATCCCTCTGTAGTAGCTGTGAGGACTTCTTACCGAGTAACCGTCTCCTTTCAAACCACATAAGCTTTTACCAGCTCCTCCTCTAATCTTGTCACACTAATGGGTGAAATATCCCCCGGTTCCTTCATCAAGCACGGCCACCAGCAAAAGGGGAAGCAGAGAGGATGTGGGAGGCACGCGGCCAAGGCGTTTAGGATCATGAATTACTACAGAGCCAGCAAACTACTTTGAGATATACCGAAACCCCAGCAGGATTGTGCTGAACCTCTGATACCACCTTTTCCTAGGGAAGCATTAATTGAAATACTGTCTTTCCAAATACAGAATTTGTTCAGGCTGTCTACCATGCAACACATCATTGTGTGTATTGACAAATAGCAGCTCTACAATTTAAAACAAAAACAAAAACAAAAACAAAAAAACAACTCACCAACACCCCCTCCCACCTAACACACAAAATACTACCACCAAGGAAAAACCAACACAACAATCAATTGTACCACACTCTACCGAAGTTTCCTAAACTTTCAGAGCTCTAAAATGAACTGGTACGACACAGTACACTCCCATAGGATTTGATATGATACACCTAAATCACCTAATCTGAGAAGAGACAAACCTCCTCTTAACCGTTCTAGGAAATACTACTAATAAGTATCAAGGCTGGCTTTAAAAAAAAAAAAAAAAAAGGGTCTTTCATTACTGAAAAGAAAAATGCTGAATTATGCTCTGAAGCACGCACAGTTCATTCTATTTTATCAAGTAACTTCTGCAATAACAGACACCACCAGACACGTGCAGAGTAGAGAAGCCAAAACCACCTCTTTGAAAAACTAGCATGAAGCCCAAGCAACCGATCCCGTTTTCATTACAGAAGGAACGATCACTAAAACCAGTTATAATAAATGATGTTGTCCAGAATGAGAAGTCCATCATTCCAAAAGACCGTTGCATCAGATAAAGTCCTCAAACTCCATAAGCCTTTTGGAGATTAATTTGAACGGCTATCAATTTCCTCTCTTATTCATCTATGAACAGCCACAGAGTTGGGGCAGAGGGGAAGGGAAAGAAGATACCAGTTCCTGCCTGAGACACCTTCTGAAGCAAACCACTGTATTTTACATTTTCCACTGGGGCAAGCAAATCTAAGCTGAGCAACTCCGCTGTATGGAAGGTGTTAAGTAATTACTTTGTGGACCAGTAAACTACAAGGACAGTTTTCAAACGAGATGCGCTGGTCAGACTCGGATATGAAAGCAGAGCCTCTATACTCTGTCCAGCCGCAGGCACTGTGTAGGACAAGGGCCAAGATGTGCTGCATGGCCACGCCTGGGGGCACTAGATTTACCAACTCCCGAGATGGCATAAAAATGATCTTTGTAAGCATAACTTCAACATTCCGTTACATTAATTGCTTGAGCACAGGCTTAAACCAGCCCTGAAGGCAGTGGAGACACAACTCTGATGCTTATTTACAAAACTACAGTGCCACATGTTCCAAAACTCCTATTTGTGACTTTTTACCATGGTAAGAAGTCAGTTGCACTGTCTCATAGCCTCAAGTCTGATTCCTGGAAAGTAAAGCACTGCTGTAGTAGACACAAGTCTTTCAACTTCCTCTGAATTCTATTCAATGAACGAGGGTCAACGCTAGCTTCCTCTTTGTTTACTCAAACTTGGCCTGGCAATCGGGAACAACTCTTACACTTTCTGCCATGGAAGATGGACAAGGATCTTGACTCAGCCAGTCATATAGGCAGAGAGCCATGTGGTACTGACCAATCTCTGACTACAAGGAAGTATTCTGAGACTGAAAGTGTCCACCGTCGAGCACAGGGCCTGGCTTAATGCATCTTTGGGGTTTGGGGAGGGGGGCTTGGGAGTTGTTTTGGGGGGCAGTAGGTATCATCAGGTCTCAGTACGAAGCTACACGGCTCATCTGGAAGCGAGCTGAAGAACCCATCTTTTCTCCCCGGAGGCTCCAGCTGTTTAGTTCCTTCTTCAACTCCCTCCCGAGATTGGTTCCTGTTTCAATCTTCCACAGCACTCAGCACAGGGAAGCAGAGGGAGTAAAATATCTCAAACCCAGAGACTGGTGCCTGACACCTGCTGGAAGCCTGTGAATGTACTACTGATTGGACAGTCTGCAGAGGGTCAGGAAGTCTTACAGTAATTACACCACAGCTTTCTCAGGTCACAAACACAACAACATTATTCAATCCTTTGGTGTGCTTTTTTAAAAACGGTGCCAAGCAGAATTTCTAGTAGACCCATTCTTAAAGGCTGCTGAAGGACCTCAGCTCTCTGAGGTGAAATCTGGTGCTACTCACATCTTCAGTTAAGAAGAATTTTATTTGGAAAAGCTGCTGCCTCTTCGGAGTTGCATGTATATGGGCTCTTTGCAGACGAATCTAGTTGGAACACACGACACTGCAGTGTGAAGTTGTATGACTTGTTCTCAAGAAGTACGGACAAAGGCCACGCCCAAGAAGACTCGGCAAAACATTTTTTTTTTAGTCAGCTCTGAGTTTTGACGGCAAGTATTAGCCCAGCCAACTCAACTGCTACTCACGAAGAGGAAATTACTGTTTTCAGCTTTTGACATACGTGCACGTCTTACCTCGTACATGACCTGTCCTGATGCCAGGCGTTTTCTCTCATGAAATAGTAACTGCAACAGATGTAAACTCACAGCGTCACCTTCACTGAAAAAGGTACAAATTATGACATGTGATTACAAAGCTGCTTTATAGTCCTTGTCATCACCTCATCAGAGCTAGACCAAAGCCTTCTTAATAGCATGCTCTTGCTGAAAAGAAAAACCCACTGCCCAAAACATGACAACCGGTCACATTTAGCTAAAACACAAAGGAGGAAATGCTGGCACTAACAGCTTTGGGGACAAATGCCAACCATGCAGTCTGAAAGCTTTAATATGCTGTATGGACTAACGTTTCTTGGAAACGGTTCTTCACCGTGAAGCGTTCTCCAGCAAAACTGCTTTACAGTCACACCCAAAAAGATTGACACTCTCTGGACAGCTGGGCTGATCAAGTAGCTTGCTGATGCTGAAAGAGAGAGGTCTTTCTTTCTCCCTCCCCTCCCCTCCCCACCAAACTTCCCGTCCCTCTCTTGCATACGCTGCACCCTTCCACCTTCTGATCTGATTCATTAGCCCGGCAGGAAACCATCGCCCTCTCTGCTCAACAGTGAGCGTTTTGTGCCAGGTGAGCTGAACCGGCTCGTGAAGGCTCCAGAGGCTGCTGAAGCTGGCACGAGGTGACAGGCAATACTGTCACCTCCCTCCTTCCGGGGCAGCAGGCTGCGGTAGCGGCACGTTTAGTGTTCCAGGTCTGCAGCCTCGGCTCCTTTCAGCGGCAGTTTCATACCACGGTGCGAATATCAAAGAAATCATGAAGCAGTCATCAAGAAACAAAGCAAGCGTTTAAGAAAGCGAGCACAACAATACAGCCGCTGTTGCTTTGCCTCCTTTCGGGAGGCAGGAACCAGTAGGTCCCTCTTCACTTCTGCTAAATCCTGACAAGGTTGCATTATAAGCTTAACGGCTTCCGTACCTGAGAGAATCGTCTGCACAGCTGAACAAACGAAACATATATGCACGTATATATCAACTGTATGCGGACAAATATTGAAAAAAAAAATAATAATCAGTGGCTTATAGTAAGTGTTTATTCACCTTTCTTGGGTAGACTGAACAGCCCACAAGTAGCAACAGTTGCGAGGATCCTTTTCAGGCTCTTGAAAAGTGACAGCATAGACAGGAATCCTTCCTCCTGCAAGCTGAGAGTGGTCCCTACAGGTTTAAAGAAATTTAAAAGAAAAAGAAAAGAAAAGAAATTAAGAGGTGATCCTACTGGCCCTAACAGTTTGTAGAGGGCTAGAAGCATCTCCTGAGAAAAGAGCACCTTCTGTGCTTATCCTCAAAGTACAGAGGTCATAATTCCCTCTCAAACAAGTGAGTCAAGGAAGCAACTACTTTTTATGCAACTGTCAAAGGGTGAGGAAATTACTGTCCATCCAATGGAACAGCCTGGGTTTATGCCCTTCTCTGCCTGAGGGGGAGGAACACAGACGATTACTGCAGCTGCCAGGCAAATGACTGTTCTGGCTGCTGTAGCCTACTTCAAGATTGAACTTAAAACGCAGCGTATCTTCTGAACAAATGTAAACCAGTGCCAAACAGAAGTAGTTCCTCGTTTCTTTACTTGGACTACGTAAAGCCCCTTTCTTCCAGACTTCTGAACCTTATCTGTACCTTCACAGTCGCTTCTTGCCGTCTAATTATCCCTCCACTGTCTATTTAGGCATCCAACAGTTTCCGGAGAGGCACTGCAGATTTGCTGAAGTGAATCCCTACCCGAATTTGGACAAATATTTCGAGCGAGATTGCTCTCTGGCAGATTTAAAATCATCTCTTAATTTTTCTATTCCTCGTGAGTTCACATGTCCCTTATTCTCATCTCCAAGTGTTCCACGCAAACTCTCATTCACGTGCATTGCTGCCTCAGAATGGCTCACTCCCCTGTTTCGGTCGAGGCTGACACGTAAGAAAGAATATGTTTTCAGGCACAGACCAGCTATTGATTCTTCATGTCTCACTAGTATCATCCGGGACACTTTAAAGAATATCACCACCAAAATCACACTAGCAACATAATTATGCCTTTCAATGCATGCCCTAATTGCAGTAACTTCTTCAGAAAAAGCATTTCTAAGATCTGTTTCATCGAAATACACACATTTCCTGGTTTCACCAAATGCCACCGAAAGAAGAAACTGTCTGATAAAAATCAGCTCTATCACGTCCTAACTGCTTGCCATAACCCAAAGAAGCACGCTTTCCACAATGCCTCAATCCACAGGCACAGTAAGGAAAACAATCCCGGTCCACTGGGGAGAAGGCGGTCCGCTCGGGCCTTGTGTGACTTCACAGCTCTGTCAGAAGAGGATTTCTGAGCATTCTTCCAAGATTACATGCAAAATTTCAGTCCCGGAAACAGTTCTCTTGTAATTAACGTCCTTCCTTAGGCAAAACATGGAGACCGGTGCACCGCCAGGCACAGCCAAGTGTAAAGGCCTACTTACTCCCTCTTCAACGTTTTCATGTTCCACAGTGACAGGTAGCCATCGGAAAAACCCACGACGAGATGATTGCTTCTGCTTATGTAGCTCAGGGTTGATACTGCTGTTCCCGAAGGATTTTGTAATTGAAAACAGAGATGTCTCCCTTCTCTGGCCACAGTTTTTCTTCTCTTTGGAACTCCCACAGGAATTCCACTGGCAACTTCCAGATCTACACACACAAAACCACACAAGGAATGAATGTGTTATGCCATTCACGTTGCATTTTCAACACTGACGTGACTACACGGGTAACCTAATTCTACCAGCCCAGGCAAAATACCCATTTATGCAACGCTTCTTTTGCTACTGCCGTCTTCTGTGTATTCAGAGAACATAAGAACTCTCCGATCGGACGGGTATTCTCCCTCGTATGGCAAAACCAGGTAAAAGCGTAACCTTCAGCGACAAATTCGGCTTGGACTTTGGAAATCAGGAGTTGGGGCTTCACGGTGAAGCTATCTGAAGTGCCATCAACTCCCAAAGCCACTGCTGTATTAGCTGGAACAGCGTATGCCATCTGAATACACCAACCGGAGATCTCATTCACCCACATGCATGAATTTTGGAAAGTCGGATTTGTTTCAAAAAGCAAGCTTAAGATCTGCCCCAAGTCAGCTAAGAGAAGCAGAACAACGTTCCCAAGAAATAGGGCACCTCCGGCACAACTTCCTGCCAGGCAGCTGCACCGACTCAGACGGTGAAATCCCTACAGCTCACCGGCAAGAATCACGGGGACATGGGGATCGTGGTGGGAGGGGGGCGTTTACAGCATTAGCGGGAGCACTGGGCCACTCCCATTTTTCATCAGTTCAGGACTAGGTGATGTCAAACTGCCACCTGTAATCAGCACTCATCAATGTCTGCACACGAGTATCTGCAAAGTGGCACGCATACTGTTTGTTAAAAAGACACCAGGTTTCTTCCTTTTAAATTCAAGTTTAAAAAGCGCACGCTTACCCGATGCTTCTCTTTCATTCTGACTGCAAGATAAATTATCCAAGCAAAGGTCAACCAGAAGTAGGTGGCCAACATCTGTAGCCACTGCTGCCACGCCAAAGAGCCATTGCAGGCTCGGATGTAGGTGCCGAGCGCTCGCACTGGTGATGCCTCCGTGATTAGTTATGAGCTCTACAGCAGTTACCTACAGGGAGAGTGCAAGTCAGTATTTAAGCTGCTTGACAAGCTAAACGGAAATCATTCGAAGGTGAAACCAGAATTAGCACATCAGAAACAAGAAGGTAAATACAGGATCATTAGGCTTACAGACAATATCCAATTTTATCAAGAAAAAATAATAAAATAAAGCCCTCTACAAACACCTGGTACTTCTTCCCATTCACTAGATCTCCCGCAGTTACTTAACGGAATTACCTTCCGCTCACATGGCGCATTCTGTTATTACAGCTCACCAACCTCCCTTTGCTACCTGGAAATAATTAAGTCTAAGAAAACACAGAAAATCAGACGTATGCAAGAAACTTGACCGTAATTAAGGGACCGAAGGAAGACAGACAAAACTAAATCGCCTTCTCCCACTGCTCACAGCCCATCGGCACTGGGACACCGGCTACGCCTCCTTTGCCAAACAGGTATTACGATAAATCATGGCTGTAAGTCACACGAGGCAGCGGTCAAGTCGCATGGTAGACGCACCATCTGCATGGGAATTACACATTTTTACACAGTGTTCAAGGGAGATACTGGCTCAGTAAAATTTACGCTCGTCCTCATGGAGGGTAAAGGTAACAACCAGATAAACTAAAAAGTTTTCCATGCACACCAGCACTTTTGTGAATGGGAACAAAAATTTGAAAGGCCAGACTAAAACAGCAGCAAAAAGAACAGCAGCTTGTGGGATAAAAAGCTAACTCCAACTACGGAAGAAGCCTATAGACCAGGAACATTTGTCAAAATACCGTTCAATAGTTCTGAAACATGCAACCATTATAAACCAATTTTAGATAATTAATGCCTTACATTCAGATTCGCTTTTCCAAGAATCCCATTCAAATAATACTCCACTGACACTCTGAGTTTTCTGCTGTGCTTCACGTGTATATCCAGAGGGCAGTGAGAGATGCTCACACACACACACACAGAATTACACCAATATTCTGTCGAAGCTTGAGAGTTTGTTTTTTTAATTCTCTGAGTGACTACACACCTACTCTTACTCAGAAGGCAGTTATACGGTCACTATAAATACCCTGTATTAAAACACTAAGGGCTTCACACCTTGGACCACAGTTACTCTAAGCTAGTGTTAAACTCTACAGCTTAGCTGTCCACAGAAGATATACCCACGTGGAAAAGAGTCCAGAAACAAAGGTGCTCATTAAAGCCTTAAAACAGTAACGACTGTTAGTACTGTGGAAAGTGATGTTAAGAACAGATCTGCATTTTACGTTTAAAGATCATCAGCGTGAAGACCAGAGAAACATTCCAGCAGACTCAAAACGCGTATGACGTAACTTATAATTTGGAAGTACGAGTTACCGAAGAAATTCAAAACCTATGGACCGTGGCCAAGTACAAGTTTTATCTACTTGGTTTTGCTTACCCTTACTCCCACACTCACAACTTCAAAGCTAACAGTCCAACTGGCAATACCTCTGCCCTGTCTATGCCCGTCTGCCTCATCTAGTCGCAAAAAGATAGGAAGCAAAATGAAAGCAACAGACCAAACATGCTTATAATCCAGAGCACTAGGGTGTAAGAGCAAACACTCAAATAAGCTGTGACTTTATTCCGAAATCCACAACCTTCATCACACAACAGCCAACTTTTCCCCCACAACGTTTCTTCACATTTTCTCCTGAGGCATTTCTTCGTGCTATAGAAAAACTCCCTAATACAACCGAGAACTACATTCGACCTCAAGTCACTTCTGTAGACACAGAGGCGGTAGGTGACATGGTCCTTCTTAACCTTTCCTTCTCCTATTCCCAGTTCACTTAGATTTAACAAATAAAACTATAAAAAGCAATGTCATTTTCCACAAATGTCATTTGCTTACTGATTATATGCTGATGTCAGCACACAGCATGCCCTTCCGTCTGAAACTCCGGGATTTCTCAAGGTGATAGGCAAACTAACACAGTGGAGCGGCAACCCAACTCCTATCTTCTGAAATTACCACAGTACAAATGCTTACTACTAGTAATCACACTGTAGCATTACAAACAAACAAGCAAAATGCCACCCGTGTTCTAGCAAGTCAAGCCAAATCACTTTACGGAAAGCTGGGTAAGAAAGAAGTATTTACTTGTTGCAGATTCTGGGAGGATAAAACCAGAATGCACCTTGATGTTCAATTAACTTACGCTGATTCTTGTTTGCATTAAGACAATGAGACTAGGGGTCATCACATCATTTGAGCCCAGGGCTTATACAAGACAGAAAAAATTGGCAACATCACAACACTGTATCCCCTCCACACAAACACAATTTCAATAATCAGAGGTTCAAGGGCCACACACGGAAAGTTGATCTTTCAACAGTCTGTCAGATAACTTACTAAAGGCTCTTTTTTCTAACCTAAGGCAACAGAAAGAATCTGTTCTGCTCTGAAGTCACCGGCTTGCTTGTCTGAGACTCATGGGACTGGGTCTAAGTCATTTACAGCACAACTACAGACCTCTGAGATATGTTAAAGACAGTATTTCTGACAGAATAAACCATTCAGGAAATGTATGCTACAGAGACTTTAAAGACTGGGGGGGTTTCCCTTTTCACTCTGCCCCAAAAAGCATAGTTTTCAATGCCCTTTTTTGTGGAAGCGGAGAGTTAGGTAACTATGTGCTCTGCAGTAAAACCACAAAACTTACCTTACGATCAGTCAACTCCAAAGATAATGGTACCGTTAGGCCCAGGATCAAGGCTGCCTTGACTGGATACTCTGAAGCGACAGAATGCTAACGCAATACAGAAAAAATACCTCCTGCAAAGAGACGCTCCAAAGCTTTTCCGGAAACAGGATCATGCAGCACCTAACAACATAAAGCTTCGTTTCTCCAATTAAAAAGCACGTACCCTTCCTGGAAGAGCCACGCCTTTAACCACTCTTGATATTCCAAGGTCGTACAGACAGAGAACGCTTCCCTCTGCTTCTTCCAAGCCAACCAGCAGCCCAGTTCTCTTCTGCCAGGAAAACTCCTTTACCACACGCACAGTGGGAGGCTGTTTATTTGCTCCCTGGAAACGGTACGCAGAGAGCCGCGCTCCTGTCACAGAGCTCACCGCCTGGAGTTGAGGACCACACGCCTGCCACGCCAGGCCATGGCTCCCTGGAAGAGAAACGCAAGAGGACTTAAGCAAAGGTCCAGCAGAAGACTGAAAACTGCCGAGAAGTCACAGTCACCGCCCTTTCCTTCAGTAAAAGTACCGAGCAGAGGAAGACCAACCCGCCCGATTCCGGTCAAGTAGTTAAAGCCACCCGTTGAAATCCTCAAGGAATGTATTTGAAAATTAACACCTTTGTTATTTTGCATTTGTACTTGTCACTCCCGCACTGAAGAGTTCTGATTGTTTGGGATAAAGATTACGAGATATTGATCTCTAGTCTGTTTACCATATTCAGCTAGGTTTTGCTAGAATCCTCTAAATACATAGGGGAATACAAGTCCTAAAGCCTACTTTGAGTAGAGCAAATCTAAACCAATTCGTTTCTAGTGTATTCATTTTACTTGCCACATGCCTACTTTGGGCAGGGATTTAGACTTCAGCAAGAATTTATCTTAAAATGGGCACCACATGAGTAAACTCAAACTGTTACACGTGCTGAGCACAGGAAGAATTTAACACGTGCTGTTTCACTGAACTTCCTCAAACTCAAAGCAAGGAGTAACTCAACTCAACCACTGCACTTCCAGTCAGGCAGGTGGACTCTAGCTGGTCTAAACAGAAGCCCAGGCATCCGGGCAGGCACCCAGCTCTACTTTCAGATCACCTAGAAAGTCAATGACCTAATCTGCTCAGCCACTTTCAGCAACTCTCACTGGGTACTCATCTGCGTCCTGTCAGATTCTTGGGAAATACGGATGCAGCGCTCAACAGCCTTCTCCCCCTCCTTCTGTTTTTATTCACACTAGAAAAGTAAAACCAGGGGGGTTTGCCTCTGTAACATTTCGGCATGTGACGGTCACAGAGATTGAGCTGGTACAAATCAATACGGCCCCAAACAACACTATTACTTTTTGGAAAACTGCCTCTTACTGAATTAGAATTTGAGGAGGGCCACCGACCCAGCAACGCTTACGGAAATTGTTCTGATGGCACAAGATGGGTGCAGGCTGCTGTAGTTTCAAAGCTGAGCTACACTAACGTTTTAATATGAACACGTTTAATAGTTAAAACATCCTTTCTGTTCTCGGCAAACCCGACGCATCTTAACAGCACCAACCTGACACAGTTGCTACGGTGCCCCGGTGCTTCAGGTAACCTCCAGGCAATAACATCTTTGCACCAAGACCAAATTTAAAGGAAAATGCTCACCTCCAGAAAACTTCCCGCTCAGCACAGAATCTAGGGTTGTCTCATCTTCCCCAAGTGCCTGAACAGTCACCTCGGGAAACTGCAGCAGACTGCTCGTTACCCGAGCCATCAGGTCTCGCACTCTTCACTGTAAAGAAAAAAAAAAAAAAAAATGACCCACGTCAGCCCTAACTATTTTTGAGATTGACACAAGTTCCATCGGGATGCAGCGAATCATCTCCTGTACATCACCTGTAGTTCTTTCCCTTAAAAAAGCGGCACTCAGGACAGTTTTCAATCTCACAGCAGAGCAAAGCGAGAATCCTTTCCCTTCTCTGATGCCTGTGGGATCACAAACAAAAAGTGACACAGACGTATGGACAAGATAAATAACAGGAAAAAACCCAATACCCTGAGTTCACGTCTGCTCACATAGGCTAATAAGATGCGAGCTGAGAAAAATCGTATTTCACATTGCAAGCAATACAGACTTCCACAGTTCATCATTCAGAAAGTAGTTTCCCATACACTTACGATGGAAACAGAACACAGCACTTTAAAACACTGATATTTTCCTGTTCTGAGATCCTCGTATTCCTTATTCCAGTCCCTTCCTTCCTACTGCCTGCCCTCATCACATCCCTGCAGTCTACTACAGAAATTTCTAGGCCCTTCAGACGGTGTCCACACTTCTACAGGTGCTCCACAAGGAGTTCGTATTTCACTATGTCAAAACAGAGGTGCTGGTGGCAAAACTTGAGAGCTGAACTGATTTACAGGGTTAAATAGGTGGCTAAACAAGAGATATTCCATACACATGGGAATGCAAACTACTTCAAGTTACTACGTTCTGCAAGTTCTCTGCGCTATTGAAAATGGCACCGTAAGAAAGTTCATGCTCTGAAGCCTGTGCACTGGAATCCACTACATGTCCAGTCACAAGCACTCGGGTTGAGAATATGTCCAGTATCTTCTGCCAGAGCAAAACCAAGGAGTGTGGGAAAGGCAGGAAGTGTAAGTCAGGGGCCTGCACTAAGCACAAGTCAACACGTTGAAAAAAGCGTTGCCAATGGCAAAGCCAGTATCACAGGACGCTGCTGCAGCCAGCCAGCCTGACCACTCTGCCAGCATTCACAGCTAGCACAGATCAAGTTCCAACGGGGACAACTTCTTTGCAGCAGTTTTGCTGCATTTGCTTTTTGGTGCTTGTCAGCGTTTCAAAGTAAACAGCGGGACAGCCTTTTGCACTGCATCCGGGGGCTCCAGAGAGTCAAAAGCCCTCACCTCCCTCCACCCGCTGGCAAAGCTCTGCCTTACGCAGCCCAGGACACCAAGAGCCTTCTCTGCACGGGGGCCACTTCTGCCTCACGGTCAGCTTGGTGCCCAGCAGGCTCCCAGGGTCTCTCTGCCAAGCCTCTTTCCAGCTGGGCAGCCCCCAACACATGCTGGTGCATGGGGTTGTTCCTCCCCAGGTGCAGGACTTGGCCTTTCCCCTTGTTGAACTGCCTGAGGTTCCCGTCAGCCCATTTCTCCAGCCTGTCAAAGTCCCTCCGCGTGGCAGCGTGACCCACCGGGGTATCACCTCTCCACTCAGACCAAAACAGGAGTTTTACTCTAAAAGGCCACGAGCATATCGGAGACCGTCTGCCTCGGAATTCTACAATCAGGCTTATCTCACTCAAGCGCAGCCTACAGATTCTCCTGCAGAGTCTGTGCGGCTGCTCCATAAGCACGAATCTACAGCAGCAGGTGAGAAGAAGAAAGAGTTTCAGCTCTCTAGCCCAACAACCCCCAGCAGAGAAGATCCCGGAGCTGATGCAGCCCACAGCTTTGACTTCCCTTTAAATGAAAAAACAAGCCAAACCACCCCAGAACTTGACGCTAGAGCCAGTTTACCCAGCTACCTCCTGTGGCTATTCCCTGACAAAACTCCGCTGTCATCCAAGGGGTGCAGTCCCTGCCTAACGCGGCAGAGTTTGCAAAAGCTCCCGACGTCAGTTCTGAAATGATGCTCTTTTTCACACCGCTTGGTGTACCTGGACAGACGGACGTAGGTGCTGAGTGCCTCAGCACAGAACACACACGCAGCCTTCCTGGCAGAGGGAGACCGTAGTCAGCAGGACACCTCCAGCGCGCCACCCCCCAGTGACATCTCACCGCTTGCCCCTCGCATCACAGATTCCAGAATCACAGCATCACCATGAAGACAAAGGCCTTCCAGAATCTCTGGAGGTCACCCGGCCCAGCCCCCCTGCTCAAGCAGGGTCCCCCAGGGCAGGCTGCCCAGCACCCTGGCCAGACAGCTGTTCAATCCCGAATGCTGAAACATACTTTTACAAACAGCAACCTGACAAGCTGAACTGCGGGGACATCTGCAACACGGGCAACAGGCCTGGGTTTTTGGTGACTCTCTCCTACAGATTTAAGTATGTTCTCCCCACGCGAGGGAAACAACGCCACACCAGCAAAGCCTAACTTTTTTTTACCACGCACTCTAATCAAAAGAAGCCTATGCACAATAACCTCCCTAGCAAAGTATATGCCCATGAGAAACTATCACCTAATTAATTAAACAGCTGTGTAGTTTGTGGCAAGATGCAGCTCATTTTAAGTTAAAAACTGAACGGAACTTGGAAGCGTGTCTCCTTTGTTTCCCCACTGGGGGGAAAGGATGGCTATCATATATATATATATATAAAATACATATCTATAAAACGTATATAAGCACATATCATAAACATACATATAACAGATACCCTTCGGGCTTTGAAACTGAGAGAAAATGAGCTCCTAACAAAAATTCAGCGTAAATTTCATTTCACTCTACTCAGAGCAGTCCCCTCATCTGTTTCCACCTCAACTAGCCACCCACTCATACAGAGTTCAGAAAAAAGATGAATGGCCTCTTGCAGGATTTTTGATTTTGCACGGTTACATTCCTTACAATACCTAAAGCCGTCCTCACGGTCTGTCTTCTCTGGTTTGCAAAACAGCAATAAATATGCCCTGTTTTGGGTATAATCGTAGCGCACCCACCTTTAAATTTCTTTGTCAGCTTTGTGAGAGGAGGAGAGAACAGGAAGGACTCCTTTTCCTCAACAGGCCGTTTCTGATGCATGGCAGTTCTGCAGGATCTGGTTCTTGAAACAGGATCTGTTGAAGTTCTTGATCCTTCATCACGTCCTGACAGGTTTATGTCTTCAAGCAGCAAAGGACTGCCATCAGGTCCTCGGCAGAAGGCCTCCTCCCCTGTGCTCTCCTTCAATAACGATCGTCTCTTTCTGCCCCGACGGGCTCTCCTTACTGGACTCTGAAACAGAAAAGGCCCAAACAATAGGCCTCAAACCAAAGTTGACTTCTGAGTGCATTCCCCCACCAGCAATCAGCATCTTAGCAGCAGAATGAAGCAACCAGCACCTTATCAGCATGAAAATGCAACCCTGGGAACAATCCCTGGGAACTGTAAGTAAACAATAGGAAGTAACTATAAATCCCAAATGTAAAGAAAAACAGAAACTCCTCAGACGTGCCCGGATCCTGGCCAGATCCGGACACGCCTGAGTGAGGCATGTCAATCTACCAGGTATCTCCTGTGCATTTCGTTTAGACTTGTTTGTTAAACTGTATAAAAGCCAGACCCTCTCACAGCACAGACGGAGACCTCACCTACGAGTGGACACACTGCGTAGGACTTCCCAATTTCTGGGAAAGGCTCTCTGATCCTTCGCTGTGACGGGGCTCCCCAGCTGATGCACGGGTCGGGGTGATGGTAAAGTATGAGGGCAATTGGTGATGGATCTTTCTTAATCACTATAGCCAGCTTTATGTAGTAACGACTAGGTGCATTACCTTGCTTATTCTTTCTGCTGCTTTAAACAGTAATGTCTAGGTGCATTACCTTGCTTATTCTTTCTGCTGCTTTAAGGTAAAATAAGCCTATTTCTTTAGCTTGGTGTCTGTGTCCTTTGTGTTAACCCCGTCAATTGGCAAACCAGACTCCCGGGTGTGGCTGATTCCTCATTTGCCTGTGGAAGTTCTTGCTCACGAGTATCCGTTTTTTCTGGCTTGGCATGTGGAACTCTTCTTCTGCCCCTAGGAGAACCAAGGATTTCCACTCTCCCACCTGCACGTATGCCTTCCTGAGTACAGGCAGATTCTTTGCCTGCCAAGAAAATTTGTGCCCCCTTCCTCGCGCGTCTTCTAGGAGTGACAGGAAGTTTAAATCCTGCCCGAGGAAGCGATGATTTAGACAGATCAAGGGCAGAATTTTCCAAAACTTCTGATGAACTCCTCTTCCTCCTTCTGCCTCTTTTAGTTGGCACAGGTAAGAGGAGTTGGTCACTAGGCAGCCCCTCCTGATCCTTGACAATACTGCCAGTAAATTGTCAATCAATGAGTTTCGGTTTTCTTGCACTTCTGCTGGGACTGACTGCCTGTTTAATCTTCTGATCGGTGGCACTCTGGCCAGCTTCTTGACCTCCTGCTGAACTTTTTCTTCCTCTAGTCCTTTTGGAAGGAGCAGAAGCAATAACGCTACCTTCAGCAGGAGAACTTTCCTCGCTAGCCTCTTGCGAGACTTCAGAAGCAGCTTCCTCTGCTCTCCTTAATCCTCCTCTTGGAGTAACAGCTATGGGCAGCCTGCTGACGGACAACGCTTGTCCATCAGAATGGCTGCTTTCTACTTTTTCCGAATTAGTCAGTTTAGGCTTCCTACCTCTCCTAGGAGGAACAGGCATCACAGGTATTTGCTCATCTCGAGTATTTCCTCCCGTTTCAAGTCTACAAGTCTCAGGTGCTCCTTTTGTTCGCTTGGGGGGCCAAGAGTGTTGTGGGAGGGGCCAGAAGTGTGGGAGGGGCCAAGAGGGGTATGGGAGGGGCCAAGGGCAGTGTGGGAGGGGTCAATAGCAGTGTGGGAGGGGTCAAGAACAGTATGGGGTGGCCAGGAGGGTTGGGGGGGGGGGGCCAAGAGAGTTGTGAGATGGGTCAAGAGCAGTGTGAGAGGGGCCAAGAGGGGATCTGGCAGGGCCAAGGGTGCTGTGGGATTGGCCAGTGGCAGTATGGGGGGGGGCCAATGGGGGTGAGGGAGTTGCCAAGAGTGTATGGGAGGGGCCAAGAGCAGTGTGGGAGTGGTTAAGAGGGGTGTGAGAGGGGCGTGAGAGGGGGTGCCCACAGCCCCTTTGACCACGCCCACACCACTGTTGCCCCGCACCACTGCTCTTGGCCCCTCCCACACTACTCTTGACCCCACCCATACCGCTCTTGGCCCGTCCCACACGGCTCTTGGACCCTCCCATACCGCTCTTGGCCCCTCCCACACTGCTCTTGACCCCTCCCATATCTCTCCTGGCTCCTCCAACACTGCTCTTGACCCCTCCCACACCCCTCTTGGCCCCCCCATACTGCCCTTGGCCTCTACCACACTGCTCTTAACCCCCCCCCATACCGTTCTTGACCCCTCTCAAACCCCGGTTGACCCCTCCCACACGTCTCTTGACCCCTCCCACAACCCTCTTGGCCCCTCCCACACCCCTCTTGGTGCCTCCCACACCCCTGTTGGCCCCCCCATAAGACGACTGGCTCCGCCCACAGCCCCCTTGGCACTGCTCAAAGCACCCTTGGACCCGCCCACTCGGCCATTGGCTGCGTCCCCCTTCAGCCGTTAGCCCAGCCCCCCTCGGCCCTTGGCTCCACCCCCTAGTCCATTGGCCCCGCCCCCTTGTCCTTTGACTCTGCCCCTCATCTTTTTGGCCACGCCCCATCATCTTTTGGTCACGCCCCTGGCTTTTGGCCCCGCCCCTGGGCCCTTGGCCCCACCCACAGCCTCTTTGACCACTCCCACACTGCTCTTTGCCCCTCCCACACCCCTCTTGGCCCCCCCATACCGCTCTTGGCCCCTCCCACTCCTCTCTTGACCCCTCCCACACCCCTCTTGGCCCCCTCCATACCATTCTTGGTCCCTCTCACACTGCTGTTGACCCCTCCCATATCGCTCTTGGCCCCCTCGCAACACTCTTGGCCCCTCCCACACCACTCTGTGCCCCTCCCACACCCCTTTTTGCCCCTCATATTGCCACTGGCCCCGCCCACATACCCCTTGGCCCTGCCAACATCCCTCTTGGTCCCTCCCACACTGCTCTTGGCCCCTCCCACACCGTTCTTGGCCCCCCTGAATGGCTCTTGGCCCCTCCCACACTGCTCTTGGCCCCTCCCACACCGCTCTTTAGCCCTCCCACACTGCTCTTGGCCCCTCCCTCACCGCTCTTGACCCCTCCCACACTGCTCTTGGCCCCTCCCACACTCCTATTGACCCCTCCCGTACCCCTCTTGGCCCCTCCCACACCCCTTCTGGCCCCTCCCACACCTCTCTTGACCCCTCCCACACCCCTCTTGGCCCCCCCATACCACTCTGGCCCCTCCCTCACTGCTCTTGGCCCCTCCCACACCACTCGACCCCTCCCACACTGCTCTTGGCCCCTCCCACACCGCTATTGGCCCCTCCCACACCACTACTGGCCCCTCCCATACCCCTCTTGGCCCCTCCCACACCCCTTTTGGCCCCTCCCACACCTCTCTTGACCCCTCCCACACCCCTCTTGGCCCCCCCATACCACTCTGGCCCCTCCCTCACTGTTCTTGGCCCCGCCCATACAGCTCTTGGCCCCTCCCACACTGCTCTTGGCCCCTCCCACACTGCTCTTGGCCCCCCAAACGGCTCTTGGCCCCTCCCACACCACTCTTGGCCCCTCCCATAAACTCAGACCAAGCTTAATTCCCTGGACATTTTTCAAGCTGGCTTTCAGGTATGCTCAAAGTGGATCTGGCTCAATAGCTTTAATACATAATTTATATGTAGGGAGCACTGAGTCATTACCATGCAAAATTTTCTATCAGCGCCATTACTGAAATACATACTAGTGCTACTTGTGTTTCTCTGAGAATTAGAGAGTGGTATCCTTTGGGATAATTTCTCTGCTGTCTCAATCTTAATGCAGATTTAACCCAGCACCATCTTGACATAGGCTTCTGTTAATTCTCTCAGCTCCTCTACTCCTGTACATTCAAGCAAGCTCTCCACAACACCTCTGAAGCTGAGTATAAGAACATTCAGCAGAAGGTGAGACTCAAAAGGCTTATTTCATAGCCTGGCACAGGTGGGAAGAGTACTTGGTATCACTGCAGCCAAAAGGACGTCAAGACAAGTAACAGATGTCCTGTATGCTCACATTCTTGCATCAGAAAGACATGTGGAAAGCAAATGAGGCCATGTGCATCTCCTATGGTGAGGGATGAGATGTTATGAACAGTAGTATGTACAGAACATAGTAGTATATATTTCACACAATACCAAATCATCTCGTGTCCAATTAATTGTGTTATATGACTTTTTGCAATTGAATTATGATTAAGGATTACTTGGGGATGGGTTGCAGATATTAATTTATAAAACTTTAAGTGATTTTAAGAATCCAGTTTTTTATTAAAAGCTCAAGTTACAATTTCCTGTCTCCTGTCTCTCCCAGGTGTTCACATGGCAACGTACTTTGCAATCGAACTAGTCTAGTAAAAAATCCAATTAAGAATGTAACCAAGGAATCTTCAGAGGCACCTGAAAATAAACACAAATTTGCTAAAGAGGAATAAGTTATAGAGAGGGTGACATTGCAAAGTCGCGGCATAGATAATGTGTATGTGTGTGTGTTTGTTCACAGCCTATTCACACACACACAAAAAAATTTGAACAGAAATGTTAAACAAAGCACAAACTCCACAGCCTCTGTAGCAGAGGAATTAGAGATCAGCTATGCATCTCCCATTCATCTTCCCCATCCTGGAATGTGCAATATGTGCTTTAGCCCATCCCATTGCTGAGCACACTGTTAGTGTCTCAACATGCTTAAGTTTTCCATTTGTTTTTCCACAGCTCACTAATGACTTATAACTGCTCCTGATCACCACCCTTTTGCAAAGATGGTGATGAATTCTGAAGACCCTGTATGCAAACAGCAAAGCATGCAAGACACTAACTGTTGGTACCGATACACAACTGGAGTTTTGCAAACCTGCTGGTGCTGCATAACATGCTGAAAATATAGTCTCACAGAATAAGCACCATCCCTCTGCCAGCAGAGCTCTCCTGCAATATGCCTAAGAGCAAAGAACTATTGTCTGTAAAGTAATTAAATTTTATTCAGTAGCTAGTTTAGTTAACCTTTATGGGAAAGAAATAAGTGAAAAATAAATAAATATCACTATTTTAGTTTGCCACTGCTCTTTTTAGACATGAAAAAATGAAGCAAAGTCTTTGTTGATGAGAAAAGTCTGCAATAATATTGCTCCACTGATGAATTTAGCAATTCTACAGTGGTGTGATGTATACCAGTAAATTTTTGCCAATTTATAATGCTGAAGCAATCTCTGCTATGGTTTTATCACTGACCTAGCTATGGGGCCCAGACAGGCCCCAGCTTTGGGAAATAGAGACACAACTGAAGCTCTGTGATTAATTCTTTCAGGGTAGACTCAGCAGGAAAGCATACTCCCCAAGGCATGTTTTGCATATAACTGCTCCTTCTTGTAAAGAGGCAAAACAATGGTGGAAACATGAGATTCAGAATATGGCTTTTCAAACATTTCCGTCTTAGCAAAAAGAAAGGATCTAATGTTATCAGAATGAAACAAGGAATTTGATAAGGCTTCTTCTCCCATCTCAGATGTTGCTGCACTGATGGGCTTCTGAGGGGATACACACACCTTCACTTCCTAAAGTCGTCATTTATGTGAAAACATTTCCCAGTTGCCACAGTGCTCAGTGTGATCCTCATACAACATCATATAAATCTTACTAGTTTACAAAACTCACAAAAATATTCCCATTAACCATTAATTTCAGTGGAGCAAACTGGATCTGCCCCATTTCACCTTTCCTAGAAAAGGAAATGCATTTTAAAGCTTGCCCAATAAAATCAGTCCTCACAAGTCAGCAGGTTGTTGGCTTGGTTTTTCTGCTTTTTAGTGAAAGAATCCAAAAGGAGCAAGCCTATGAGCAACCAGCAAGCTAAGGGTGCATTATCTGAATGCATTCAATGCCTGTTAGTCAATAAAAACACATTACCATGCCATCCTCTGCATTGCAGTCTAACCCCCACTACCTGCACAGATCTCCAATGCAAATAAATACAACACCAGAGAATCAGTATGCTGTGAAACTGTAAGAAGAATTCCTCTTTCTTTCCATGTTCCTCCTGGATTAAGCTAACAATTTTTAACAAAAGATGTTTTGTTCTGAATGCCTTGACCCAGAATTTCCAAAAGTATTCGGCAAGATTAAAATTAGTGGGTATTTAGGCTTCAGTTTAGCAAGTTATTAAAGCATGTGCCTAAATTAAAGCATAGAAGTAGTGCTTTTGACTTCAGTGCGACCATTTGTCTATTTAGAGTTAGGTGAGTGTTTACATATCTTGCTGAATAGGTGCCCTGAGGCTTTCTAACCGTATGTCCTAAAAACTTCTGCCATTCCTAACTAAGCTTGTTGATACATTGCCATGAAAGGACCCTTTTTTCTCCCTCTTTTTTCTGGCATTGTGTTTTATTCTCACTGGAAAAACTATTTGAGGTTGTTTTGCACTAACTAAACTTTAAGCTACATCTGTCCAGAAAAAAGGTAGTTCCCTTCCTTTCTAAAACCTCAGAGGGGAATTCTGAAGTAAGGCAGGAGGAATACTTAATACTCTGGAAC